GGTACTGGGGATCGGACTCAGGTCCTTGTGCTTGTGAAGCAGGCAGAACCACTGAGCTAAATCCTCAGCCCCTCATCTGCTTCTGTTCATCACCGTTTCTCTTGAGAAAAAAGAAAGAGGGAAAATTCATATGGAAAAGAAATATAAAGACTTGGAAGCGAAATTCTGAAACAGAAAGAAAAAAAGAATAACGCCATTCACAGCCAGGGATACAGAAAACTAAACAGGCCTCAGAAGGGCGCGGTGTCCCACACAGGGCACCTTGCTGCCCCAGCTGAGAAGAGCTCCGGAGCTGCACGCCCTCCAGCCACTCTGGGACCCGACGCCTGCCAGGAAGCAGGGCAGCGTGAACAAGAGTGATTTACAGTTTCAAAGGGCCTTCTTCCTATTTCTAAGGAATCACTGCTTCTGAGGAAGAAAGCAAATCTACAGTGATTATTTATGGTCCTATCAACAGATCTGAATCCCCCACCTTTCTAGAAAAATAAAAATAAATAAATGCAGGGAACTGTCTTATGCCTGATCTAAGAAATACATGCTCCGATGAGGCATTTACATTTTAATAAACCAATCGTGACTTTCATTACCGATGCATATGAAGTGGATGTAAAAAGTTAAGGTACTGGCAAATACAAAGAAGTCAAAAGGGTGCAGAAGCAAAGTTCGGAGTCTGCTTAGCCTGGGGGGTGGCCGCAGCCCAGGGTGCCTGTCTCTTGCCCAGTCTGCTAAACGGGTTGGGTCGTCCGAGTGAGCCCCCTGCCGAGTTGGCACGCCAAGGCAGGCGTGGTGGTGCCCTTGCCCTCAGAGCCTCCGCCTGCCTTTTCGAATGTTCCCTGCAATTCATCAGCAGCCAGCGTCCTGCTGCCTGCCTCTGGAGTTCTCAGGCGCACACACACCTCTCCCCCTCTGCCTCCTCCTCTTGCTATTCACAGTGTACCGTTTGGATTCCAAAAGTGTTCCAGTCTGCTGCTTCTCACTGCAGCCTGCGACGAGCTCTTATTAGATTAGATTTGATTTTGAATTAAGGCAAGGAAACAGTGTCCACATCGATATCCCGAGTTACGGCCTTTCCTCACAGAGATCAGCAAGTGTAATTCACGCCTGTACGGTGGTATCCAGTGAGGCCGATTCCATCTGCCTCGAGGCAGGCCAGGCTTGGCCCCGCAGCAGGTGGGTGCTGGGAAGACTGGTGAGGGGCTCACGTGGGACCTTCCACTGCTCCCCAGAAGGCTCTGCCGGCCCTGCATCCTCTCCCCGAAACACCCAGCTCTTCTTTGCCTGGCACTTATCCACAGCCGCTCTTCTATGTCCTCACCAAGGCCACAGTCCCAGATTGCCTAGCGTGTCCCTTTGTGTGTGAACCTCAGGTCGAGTCTCAAATGCTGGCTGGCAGGGCGTTTATAGACAAGATCACCACAAAGGTCACCTAAACTTGGCGTGTCTTTAAAACAGACCTGGCTCACTCCTAATTCTTGTCTGATAATCACTGTTCTCCTTTTTCAGTTTTAGCTTCATAGCTGAACCCTTCACAGCAACTCATTTGAGTGTGTTTATTAAAGTCAGGGCAACAGAGCGACAGTGGCACCTGTCCCGTTGGCACTGGCAGCAGACAATCGTCACATGAACTCTAAAGAGAGCAGCCCTGTGCTTCCTGAGGAAGGGATCGTGTCACAGTGACGGGCAAGGAGAGCACCCAGTGCAGGCGCAGGTGAAGGGGAGCCTGCAGGTCTAAACTGGCAGAGGTGGGAAAGAAGCCATGGAGAGACCCCAGGCCACTACAGAGCAGTGCCAAAGCTACTGTGGGGCCCACCAGAGTCCTGGGAACACCTGCCACGCAGTACACATCTCGTGACCAAGGAAAGAACTGCAGCACTGGGATGCTCCCAGCCGGTAAGAGGGCTGAGGGGAAAAGGGACCCTACTCAGTCAATGGGCTTTTGATTCCACTGAGGACTTCCTCAGCTCCACTACCTGGGTGGTGCAGGCCCTGCTGACAGGGTGGCAAAGAGGTGTGGCTGGTAGCTCCACCCTTGGGGATGAGGGCTCCAGGGTGTGCCAACTCTGGGTGGGGGTACTGACTGACGGGACACGAAACTCCCCTAATAAGAGAAAATATGTACATCATCCTGAAACAAATACCACTCCTTCAACCGACAGACTGCACTAAGGTATGGGTTAAATAAAAGGAAAACCCAAACTATCTCTATTTTGGGCCATCTGAAACTATCACCAGGAGCAGGTTCCTGCCTCCCCCATGCCAAAGGAAGCAGGTACACTGCGTGAATAGCCTAAGTCCATGAACGTCCACTCAGACAATGGACAGCAGGAGAAGTCTTACAGCCTGAGAGGGGAACTCCACAGGCTGGGAAACGTGGCACCAATGCCTGGGGACACCCACACATGATGGTGAATGGCCCGTGGTTAGTCCTGCTGGCCCCTGGACCAGGCCCCGCGTCTGCCTGGACATTTCAGTTTGCAGACTGAATGCACTGATTTTTCCAGCTCTGTACTTCATGGGGAGGGGGAGCCTTATAGTCTTATTAGATGTTTTAGATAAAACTGAGGGGCGGGCAGGGAAAAAAACCAAGAAATGAGCCCACCACACTTAGCAGCATGGTGGCAGGTGCTCAGCAGCACCTGAGCAGCCAAGGGTGCTGCCGGGCGTGGCACCGTCACGTCCCACTGCCCCAGGCAGACACTCGGCTCTTCCCGTGCTTCCGAAAATGCTTTTATCCATCACTGTGCTGCATCGGAGCAGAAGAAATCCTTTAAAGTAGATGTTTCAAAAACTGTACGCCTTTAGAATTCCATCCCATTAAGAACCTGCTACGTTAGGTGCCAGAGATCTCACGGAAAGCACGACAAACTCAGCTCTGGCACCATTTCCCTGTCACTCCTGTGGAGCCCACCCTGCCTCTCGACAGGGCCGACACAGGAGGGTGGCTGCAAAGGCCTGGCTGTGGGTGTGTGGGCAGGGTCCTATCTCAACTGCCTGAAATCTCCCCCCGGGTCTCTTTTCCTGGGGAAAGGGACTTTGGGTAATGTGTAAAAAGCCTTATTTTTAAAAAAGACAAAAGCAACTCTGAAGTTGTAAGATGTTTAAGCATAAGAAATAAAAACTGTGAATAAAGTTTCTGAGAAGCTGGCTGGAAGGGTCGTGCATCCACTCTTCAGAGTAAGAAAAATGAGTCACAGACCTCCACCTCAAAGAAAAATGAAGTACAACAGACTGTCCTATGACTTAGTCTGGCAATGCAATGAAAACTGTCAGGTGTGATGGCATTAGGGTTTTAGTTTTTGCCACTGGCTATTCTGGGACTCATTTAGGGATCACAAGGGTTAATGGCTCTTCGGCAGCTTACAAGGCCCAGCCACTATAAAAAGCGACAGAAAGTTAATTAGGTGAGATCAGCTGAAACCTCGTTCAGGTTTCTGACTCACTTGATTTTGTGAGAAGCCAACGAGTTGACATATTCTGCCTCTGAAGGAGCCAAAATGAGCAGGCTGCTCCCATGGCAGCCAATCCGGGCGGTTCTTCCAATCCGGTGGATATATTCTGCAGGTGAAGACGGAGCACTGTACTAGAAAGGGTAACAAAAATGAAGGCATTCAAGATCAAGGGATTGCCATTAATTGGAAGTGCAATTCCCCTCACCTGCCTCCAGGTATCCCAAGAATTAGACCCTGGTGCTATGGTTTCTCTAACACAATCACAAGAAGTCATTCAACCCTGAAACTCCTGGCTTCATTGAAATAACAAGGCTGACACGCAGACGTGAACGGTGGCCAAGTTTCAGATTAACGTGACATCATCTCATCCCAGTATCTCCTTTTTAATTTTACTTCTCCACAGGTCTCTTCATTTTCTATTTACATCTTTTCACGGAGGTGACTGCAAGGTGAAAATGTAGGCAGGCAGGGCAGAGCTCTGAGATGACCACATGACCTTGGCCTATCTCCTCGGCAGACAGAGCAGCAGGGGCGAGGCAACAGAGGCCAGCGGAAGGATGAAGGGGCCAACTGCTGTGCTGGCAGTCACCTCTGCTGCTGGCCCCGCAGGGAAGGCCCCACCACCCCGTCCCAACTGGGGACATAGGGCGGTGCTGGGGCAGGCTCTCCGCAGGGGGAGACAAGGAGAAAGGCAGACCCCAGCTCAGCCCAGCGGACTGGGCACAGCACTCTATGTTATCTGTGACAGTAATGTCATTTTCAAATGACCGGATAGTCATTCTTTCCTTTTTTCTTTTCTGGTACCGGGGGTCAAACTCGGGCTCTTGCACTTGCGAGGCAGGCGGAGGAACCACTGAGCCAAACCCCCGGCCCATTCTTTCCTTTATTCTTCACTGCCACAAGATTCAAAGACCAGTGGGCCAAGGTGACCATGCTGTATAGGAAGCCAGGCATGTTTCCTAACCAAAAGTCTTGGCACAAGGCCTCCGTAATCAATTTTGTGCCCAGCCTACGGCACGTGCAAACTATCCTTGCCTCTCATCTCCCATTCGCTCTTCCACGGCCAGCGATGGAGACACAAGGTCTCGAGTCCTAAAGTGATTGTCTGTGACAAGCAGATCAGATTTCCCAGCCAGAGACTGGCCCGCAATTGCATGAACGTGAATAAACATGACTCATGTAAACAGGGCACACGTCCTCTGGCCTCCGTATAGAAGGGCTTAAAAACACCATTCTGCAGACTAATGAAAAGAAAAAGCAAAATGAAACCCACTCAATTCGAGTGCTAATATTTCTACCCTCTGGCAAAGTGTCTAAGGCTAGAGCTATGTGTAAGGCCCTGTTGGGAACACATCGCTCCCAGCAGGTCAGTGTTCCTGGACAGCTGAGCCATCTCCTCTGCACACAGTGAGGCCTCCTAGGGGCCCAGATGACTCCTGCTATTTCCAGACTGTCAAAACTCTGGTCTGTGACATGAACTGGTCTGGAACAAGACAGCCCACTGCCTCTCTCGCTCCTGCCCGTGACTGCACATCCTGGCTGTTTTGCTGTCGCTGGTGAGTGGGCTGGGTTAGGAAAAGATGTCAGGAGAATTGTGCAGATAAGGCTGATTGCTGCCTGGTTACCAGGGCAACACCCAAGAGTGTAATAATTATTCTACTTAAAGAAAATGCACCTGCTTGTGATCATATACTCCTGCCTGAAGCTCCTACCCTAACAACTAAAAAAATTACCTGAACAATCCACGTGACTTGTGGGAGATCTAAGCCCCGAGCCGCAACATCCTTCAAAACAGAAAAGAATATGGTTAGGGCTGCAAGTGTGAACCGTGGGGGTAGTGGGGCCAAGGACACATCACAGCATCTAACACAACTCTGAGAGTCACGCACCACGATGCCTACACACACAGACTTGCCCAATTCTGCATTTAAGTAAAAAATTCTGATCTGGGAAAGCAGGACAGAACCCTTCACAACCCAGGTCACTCGACACAGCGAGCAGGTCAGCACGAGGCCTTACACTGCAACTGTCAGTGATTCAGTGAAGAGCTGCAAAGCATGTTTTACTCACTTGTGCTGCATCTGAAAAGCCACGGTGACAACTGCCATCTATGGATTATCACCCCAAGCCTTCCTCACCTGCCCACAAGGGTGGGGCAGGTTTTTGGCACTGACGCGCGGAGGTGACTGAGGCCTGGCCTGTGAGGCTCGGAGCACGGAGACATGGCTCATGTGCTCTGCCGCCCCTTCTGAGGGCAGATGATGGGCAACCAAACCTGTTAACTACTTCAAAGACTTAGCTGAAAAGCTTTCAGCACTGGAGACTCATTTTCCCTCTTAACCTGGTCTGGCAGCGAGACCAGAAAATGGAATCTCCCATCCTCGGCAATAATTTGCACTCAGAACTCAACTTCTGCGTGAGAGTAGTTAAGACCGTCCCCCATCACTACTACCGAGGCCTTACTTCAGGCCAGAAGCCGTTTTTAACATTTTAAGTAAGCTATGAAGGTACCCACAGCTAAGAAACAGCAGCAACCACAAACCTAGGCCCATTTTACTGTTCCAAGGCCAAAACAACAGGCTGGGATTTGGCTCAGTGGTTCTGCTGCCTGCCTCGCAAGTGCAAGGACCTGAGTTCGATCCCTGGTACCAAAAAAATTAACACCAAGGCCAAAACAGACTACACCGCTATCAAGAGATGCTACACTATCAAGAGATGCTGTGACGAAAATTTAAAAAGAAGAAATACATTTAAAAAAACACAGGGCTTGGTATTTAGCTCAGTGGTTCCACTCTGTGCCTCACAAGCACATGGTCCTCAGTTCAATCTCTGGTACCAAATAAAGAAGAAAAAAAAAACCAAACCAAAACAAAAAAAAACCCCACATATGTCAAGAAAAAAAAATCATAAACAAAAGAGATGCTGTGTCTCCCAGTAGGCTGCTGGTACGAATGGAGAACGGTACAAACTCTTGTGGTGGGGACATGGTGCTATGTAGCAAAACCAGGTCTGCATGTCCCCTTCCATTCAGAGCAGTCTGGCCACTAGAAAAGACAAGAGGAGAGCTGCACAATATTCAGTCAGCACTGCAGGGAAGGCAACGGGTGAACAGCGAACGGCGCTGTACGCCATACAACAGAGAACCGTGTGGCTATGAAAGGGACCAGTGTTTCTATGTTCCGATTCGGAGACTCTCTAGGACATATTCTGAGTGTGTATGGTATGCTTCTGTGTAAGAAACTGAGGAAATAAAACATACTGGCTTATTTCCCAAAAGAAACCACAACGGAAAAAGCTCCAAAGCTTACAGAAAGTTACCTGTAGGGGAAGGAAGAGGACAGGGCAGAGGGACAAGGACAGGAGCCAGACTGCCTTCAGTGAGCTCCACACCTGGCTCCAGATGATCAGCTGCCACGCAACAGCAAACCACCTAGGAGGCCTTCTTGCCAAAAACCAAAGCAAAACAAGAAAACCACTGAATGCTGCATATGCTAGGCAAGTTCTCTGCCATTCAGCTACATCCCAGCTTTTTTGTTTTGTTTTGTTTTTGAGACAGGGTCTCACTATGTAGCTGAGGCTGACCTGGAACTCACTTTGTAGCCCAGGCTGGTCTAGAACTCACAGTGATCCTCCTGCCTCAGCCTCCCGAGTGCTGGGATTACAGGTGTGTGCCTCCATGCCTGGCCATCCCCAGCTTTTTATTTTATTTTCAGTGTCTCACTAAGTTGTCCAGCAGTCTGGCCTAGAACTTGCAACCCTCCTGCCTCAGTCTCCTGAGTAGCTTGGATTACAAGTGCATGCCACCACGACGGGCTGGTGCATTCTAGAGGAACAAATGGTCTTATTTTTTCAGCCAAACATTTCAAGAAAAAAAAGTTAGACATGTCACTAATCAATTGACTGGTCAACCAATCAACTCAGCCATCAATGGGTGGGTAGAAGAAGTCCTTGAAGGAGGGACCACAATCTTCACCAGTGGTTACTTCTGGATGGAGGCGCTTTATGTGATTTTCACTTTTCTCTTTGTACTTTCTTGTTTGCTTTTTTTTTGTGGGGGGTACTGGGGATTGGACTTGGGTCCTTGAGCTTGCAAGGCAGGCCGCAACGCAGAACCACTGAGCTAAATCCCTGGCCTCTTGTTTGCTTTTTAATAATGAATATATACATACTTTCCCCAGTTTTTTGATTTACAAAAATTCCGGCCTACATCAGTGTTGACAGATGAGCGCAGTGAGCACAGGCCAATCTCCCTGAGGCATCAAGTGCTGACCTCCAGCTCTTCTGCTTCCTCCTTTTCCCTGTAATCTAAGTAATCACCCCCACCCCCATTTTCCTGACCCTCTGCAGCAGGGTGCAAACATCAGGACATCTTAGTTCCAAATAATGCAGCAAGAATCTTGTCGGTACAAGGGTATTCTTTTAAAAACGATGACTACACCACCTTAGGAAACTGAGTGTTAGCCAGGCACGGTGTTGCATGCTTATGCTCCCAGCACTCCGGGAGACCCAGGCACGAAGATTCACTCAGTGAGACCGTGTCTCAAAGAGTAAAAAGGGCTGGGCCAGGGATTCAGCTCAGTGGTGCCATCACCTGCTTCCCAAGCATAAGGCCCTGAGTTTGATTCCTGGTACCAAAAAAATAAAAATTAAAAAGGGCTGGCTAGGAATGTAGCTCAGTGTGAAGGCCTTGCTCATAAAAAAACAAAAAACAAAAAACAAACATTTAATGTTGAAGATCATTATTTTCTCATAAAGAGTCCATGTTAAATTTTCTCCAACTGTCCTAGGATGTCTTTCGTGGTTATTTTTCTTTCTCAATCCAGACGTGAATCATAGAACTCATGCTCTACCGTGTATCTTTTTAGACTTCCTCAATCCAGAGCAGCACCCCTGCCTGCCTCATAATGACATCCTTCATTTTATGAAGACCGTCATTTTTTAAGAGGAAGCTCCTACACTCTGGATTTGTCTACTTGCATCCCAATGGGAAGATCTGGGTTAGGCATCCTGGTAGGCACAACCTCAGACTGGGACCATGCCATGGCCACAGGCTGGCAGCTTGCCCCGAAGGGGGACGCCAGGCTCCATCACCACTGAGAGTGGCGCCCACCGGCTTCCACAGGGAAGGTGCCTTTCTGTTTTGCAAGATGAGTGACCGGGGAGATGAAACTGAAGCCCACAATGCTCCTCACACGTCTCACTACAGGGCCTGGCTTCTACCTGCACCCTGCTGTGTATCAATGGTTACCTCGATGGCTGCAGAAGATGACTTTCTGTTTATTGTCCCCCTTCTTCTCCGTGGCTGACAGACTCCGCCATACAGTGCAGCTCTCCCACGGCGTTTTAAAGTAACCCTAAAGGATTTGTATGTATATAGTTTTTCTGTAAAATAATCTCAGGCCAAGTTCTGGTAAAGATGCGCCCTCCCTGCACCCACTGGGCTTTCATTCAGAGGGACCGGGGACCAGAGGGACCCCGCTCTCCTGTGAGTGGCACCAGGCTGTACTTGTATATGTGTGAATGAAGTCAGTGTCAGCCACTCGTGAAGTCTCAGACAGCCCCATGGGCTCCAGAGCTCAGGGCTCTGAGAAAACAATTGAGAGCATGCATTCTCCATCCAGGGGGGTAGAACTGGCTCTCTACACTAACCACAGTCGATGTCTTTGGGAAAACTGACGGGTCCTTAAATCTGCTAAGTTCTTATTGAGAAATGATTTATTTTATGTAAGTGCTCTGCAGTAGGAGATCTATGTAGACAATGGGCTGCCTGAGCTTTACAGACAGGCTTTGTAAAAAATTTAATGCTCGTCGGTTTAGTAAATTCAACCAGGAAACAGATAAAACTTTAAAACAGCATGCCATCTGTGAAACTCACTGAGTCTAAACACGTGGGCGCAGTGAGTGAGGAGGGACACTAGCAGCCTCACTGTGACTCTGCAAGTCCGTTCCTCCCAACCTGGGGGCCCAGCCTGGATGCCTGGCTGAGACCACGCCCTCCCCACTCCTGTCAGCCTGGGCACTGCCTCCCCCTCTCTCCCAGACTAAATGCAGCCATTGCTTAGGCAAAGTACTTCCATCAGTCCTAGACTCAGCTACCAGGGAGCGGGGGAAGGAACAGAGTGCTGAAGGAAGAGGGCGGATGGAGATCCCGGCCTCAGTCCGGGCAATCCAGCCAGCTCTGAGCTCCTGGCGACCCAAGGCTGCTGTGAAGAGCAGAAAACACCGTGTATGCTGAAAATGCCAGAAAAGCCGAAATCTGAATGTTCCCCTCATTTGGTTACGGTGGCAATTTTAGTGTCCCTTCCCTCTGGCCCCACCACCCCAGGACCCCTGGGAAAAGGACCCCAGAGGAGCCCCAGCAGCTGTACCCAATCAACAGGAGTGGGGCCTGCTGAAGGCTTCACAAAGCCTTCAGTTCTCCGCCCAGTCCTTGAACGTACATGTTGTAGCAGCCCAGTTCTACTCCTTTAACCTAATTAGGGCAAAAGAATCACTAAAGTCAGTTCTGAAAGACACTCCCCAGCAAGGCCTTGAAGGCCTGGGCTTGACAACTGGCTGCCTCCATGAGACCCAGGAGTACAGATGGAAGGCAGCTTGCTCAGGTGCCAGCCTGTCAGTTGGATTAAAATGACTCATTTATTTACCCAAGAACCTCACAAAGTGCTTTTACTAACAGGGAGAGGGGGCTGCCGTCTCTCTGAGAAGGGACGCGGCAAACTCGCCTCTGACGCCTTCCCGGCCTGCCAAGAGTCATTATTGCCGTGTGTGGAAAGCCATCAGCAGGGTACAGGCCCCTGTTGTCCGGGTGACAGATTGGGCTGCGTAATCAGAGGAGGAAGGGGAGAGTGCAGAAGCTGTCAGAGTCGAGAGATCTTGGCTGGAGCCGCCAAAAACTGGCAACATGAGTTAGCGTAACTGAGTAAACAGCAAACAATCTCCAAATGTCTTCCATTAACACCAATGAATAAAATGGGAAAGACGAACTTTACCTGAAAAGCACACCCCAGAGGAAAGCGAGAAGGCTACATTTGTGCAGAGAGCTGGGCTGGCATTCTACTGACTCTTACAGCCTTAGCTCCTTTGTTTCCCGGCGGCCCGGCACAGTGGAAATTCCCCAGTAGGAGAGGAAATTAAGAACTGCATAGACATAACAGTGTTTCAAGCAAAAAGGGAGAGACAGAGACAGAGACAGAGACAGAGAGAGAGAGAGAGAGGGGCGGGGGGAGAGAGGGAGGGAGGCGGCGGTAGAGAGATGGGGCAGAGCGGGCGCTCACGTGTATCTCCTGAAAAGAGACGCACACATTGCAAAACCATGACCACTCATTCCAAGGGACGCACAGGCAGCAGACACTGGAGGAGCTGGAGGCCTCTCCTTCCCAGGGAGAGGGTCACTCGATTCCACTTGTTCCCGGGCAACCAAGGAGCCTAAATGTACCAAGACAAAGCCTAGTCTGGTCTTAATGCCAGAGGTGACTCGGAAATTCCATTTTCGGGCCACTTGGGGGTATTTTTCTTTATCAGCGCATCAAAGTAACAATGGCGTAACAACAAACCATGTTCCCTTCCTTTAGTTTAGGGTGCGCTTCTCATTATAAGCAGGGGAAACACAAATTTGTAGATAATCCAATGTCTCTTATCTGCCTCATTTGATTTCTTAATTCCATTTGGGAAAGTACACCTTGAACTTTCAAATTACTTTTTCCTATGTGTTCCTACTCCCTCTTAACCTGGCTTTCCTGTGGATCTACTTTTCCAGAGGACAAAGTCACACTGCCAGTATGTGGAGATTCATCTTTCCCAAAGGGGTCTCCTGCCCTGCCTGCCCTAAGCTCCATCTCTAGACAGACCCACACCACTGGACAGTCACTCTACAGAGCTGTGTCTAGTCTTGAGGTGAAATTACAAAGGTTCTTGCTTTCAAGATGTGTATAATCAGCATAAACACACACACACACAGACACGCATGCACGCACGCACGCACCCTTTTCTGCTCCTCCATGGAAGAAAAGCAGAGTCAGGGAGGAGATTTTCAAAACAGTAAAGGGTACCGTGTTACTCTATTTCCTGTGGTCCTTATAGAACAGCTTACAATTTTCATAAAGATATTCAGCCTCCTCTGGCCTCGTAGGAGGATCTTGGGATGATAAATTAAAATGGCAAAGATATGGATGGTATAGAGGGGGAAATCCCACATACAATTAACGGTGTGAAGACTCTTTATCAAAATAAGCCAGTTTTCTATCTGCCTTGCCCTGACACGGCCCTCGCTCCCCATTAGCTCCAAGGGGGCTCCCGGGAGTGCTCAGACAGCCTGGCGCGTGACAGGCGGTTGCAGGGGACGCGAGTGACAGCATCTCTCCCATCATCCCTCACGGTGCGTGCACCACACACTCCCTGTGGCTCTGACACCAGACGTGCCAAGCTAAAATAAACAACTGTGGCAGAAGTACGCAGCACTTCTATGAGTGAGCAAAGAACCTCTTGTTGCTGGGACTGGCTTAGGCAGGCAGGACCAGCCCCACCCACGTCTTCCCCCAAACTGCAGAGGGAAGAGAATGTGATAATGCGGTGGAAACCTGTGCACTGGGCTGATGTGGACAGGCCAAAGGCTATCGCCAGAATAATTTAGGGATTTCAGACGGTGGGCGAAGGAGTTTGCTTTGCACCTGACCCTGGGGTGGACAGGGAGCTGGGGGCACTGTGCAGCGGCAGAACAATGGCGCTCTTTGTCTAGCTGATGTCACATCCTGTGGGCATCAGACAGAACAAGGAAAGTGGTTGATCTCACGTGAATTACACCTGAGAAAGAATGATCTTCTCTGCCATGCAGAGCTATGTAAGAAATAACAAAATACTAAACTTCAGATGCCTTGACTTTTCCTTGAGATGTATCACAGCCCCTTTACATGCTGCAAAACATGGTGAGGCTTACATACTGGAAACTCAAGGATTTCCCAGGGATAAATCTAGGAACTTAATGGTCAAAAAGAAAACATTTTGTTACTATCCTAAACTAAATTTCAACACAAAAGTTCCTACTGCTCTCTGTTTCAATGCAGACAATCTGAAACTTTATTCTTCAGGTAATGCCATACGGATGAAAAGTAAACTTATTCCCAATGAATAAGTGTATTAATTTCCACTTTCCCCAGTCTTTAGAAAAAGGCATATGTCAAATGGTTCTTGCCCTTGAGATTCTGGGGCCCCAGTGACCCACTCAAATCAACCACAGATACCGAGTGCCTAGGGTGTGTCCGACACTGGGATGGAACTGAGAATACATCACGGTCCTGGTCTTCGTGGACAACGCCTAGACCAGGAGTGACAGCCACTACCAAGAGAAACACGGGCTTCACTCTCGGAAATGAAACTTCAGCTGCGGATTGGTCAAAGTTGGGACTGGAGGCTGTTCCAGGCAGAAGGCACAGCTGGCATCACAGCCCAAGGCTGGAACGGCTGAAAGAGGGCTGCGCTGGGCTGAAGGGTGGAGAGCAAGGGGCAGTTGGCATGAGGGAAGGCCTTTGAACAGTGTCAGTGCTGACGCGCTATGCGTCACCGACAAGCTCCCTACCAAGCAGAACTGGACTCCATCTTTAGACACTTAAAACTGGTTTTGGAAGGAACACAGCCGTCTGACTTGCAGCCTGGCTTCTTCACCAAGGCGGAGGGGCTACTTGGTCAGACCTATGTTTCCTCCGGAGACAAGGGTTCCAACTGAAACCGGCCTTGGGTCTGAATGAGGATGAGTGTCAATGGGGCCACTCTGTCACGTGTGTGAGAACAGACAGGGTGCAGGCAGGTTCCCAGGCAGGCCTTCCTGTACATGAGCACCCCAAACACACACACACACACACACAAACACACACACACACACACACACACACACACACACAGCTGCACTCATCTACCAACTTTTTTTTTTTGTTTTGGTACTGGGGATAGAGCAAGGCAGGCGGCAGAACCACTGAGCCAAACCCCTGGCCCTACAAACTCTTAATTTAGAAAGAAAACAGTTCCTATTACCTTTAAAATTGAACAGTAAGGAGTTCCTTAAAAAGTAAATGCAGTAAATGCGGCATTCATATAGCTAAAGATCTTTGTTTCTACCCAGCATCTGTTCACTGAAGTTACTAAATTTAAAGTAGAATTTCATTACTGTGTACACAGTGGGGACTTCTCCACTAACCCCTGGGGGTCACGCTGTGTCACCCAGGACGGCACAAGCGGAGCAGGTATTTTAATCTTGGGAGAGAGCAACAGCTATGGTAAAGGGACTCCCCAGAGACAAGAGAATATGGAAGGCGTAGTTTTCAATCTCGAAAGAGCACTGGAGATGTGCATTAAAAAGGTCAGCGCTGCACTGCGGGAAGCAACGCGGGACTGCACAGTCTGAGGCCGGATGGACTAGTTCTGGAAATTCTAGGCCAAATGACATTTTTGACAACAACAAACAAAGTCTGCCTGTGTGCATCTATTTTCCTTTAAGAGGGTGAGCAGAGGCAAACAGAGTCATTTTGCTTTGGGAAGACTTTCTCAGCTCTAATTACTCCCGATAGCTGTAATTTACAAGTTTTTGGTGGCTAGAAATTGCCAAGATTCACACATTTTCAGACTAACAGCTGCCACTATTAGTGAGCAAATCGCCAAGTCTTCTGCACGGTGGCAGCCAGCTATCTGTGGCACAGTCAGGTGACAAGCCAGAGGTGCAGCCACACCAAGAGGCCCCAGCATTCCCACTGTCCAGGGGGCTGGCCATAGGACAGGTCATCAAAGAGACTAAACATTACAGCCCAGGTCACTGGAGTTCACTATCACTTGAGCAGAAATACATACCGTGCAAAGAAGGATGCCTGTTTTGGAACAGGAGAATTCCTGAAACACTGCTGTTCTCTCCTACAAAAACAAGGAAAAAAGAACCTTACAGATGCCAGGATAAATTCCAACAAGGCAGCTTAGATTTCCACCCCACCCCCAATTTCCTACAGCTCTATTTCTAGGCTCGGAGAGGCTCCCCAGGAAAGCAGCAGTCCAAGTGCCTGCTGAGGCCCGGCATTAGCAGGACCCAGCCTGAGCCTATGTTCAGCAGCAGTGCTTCGAGGGCAGCAGGCTTCAGCCAGCCACTGCCAGGGTGGGCACTCCCCATCCAGGGCCAATGACAAAAGCAGGGAAGGCCGAAGGCCCCACGTCACACGTGTGGGCCCTAGAAGACTTCCTCCTAGCATGTTCTCCTAGAAGTGCTCTAGAGAAAAGACCAGCCCTCCCTATAGGGCAATTTTTTAAATGCTTAAAAAAATTAAATATTTACTGAACTATGGACCTTAATTACAGAAAAATTGTTTCAGTTGAAGGAAAAAATATAATTGTAACTCCACTAGGTATAAAACCCACTACTAGCAATATTTTAATGTTATCCAAGTCCCCTTTCTATGCATAACACAACTAAATATGTGGCTTTAAAAGTTTTCAATTAGCAATAATTGCACCTGGGATAAACCATGCTGGCTGTAATACTGCTACTGTGCAAAGCTGATAATTTTTTTTTTTTTTTGGGAACCGGGAATTGAACTCAGGTCCTTGAGCTTGCAAGGCAGGCCACTGAACCGCTGAGCTAAATCCCCGGCCAAAGCTGATAATTTTTTGAGACAGGCTCTTGATTTGTTGTGCAGGCTGGCCTTGAATTCACTACGTAGCCCAGCTGGTCACAAACTTATGGTGATCCTCCTGCCTCAGCTTCCTGAGTTCTGGGATAACAGGCGTGCAGCAACATACCTGGCACGAAGGCAATCCTTTTTAAAAATGGCATTCCACTATTTATACTACTAACATGCTCATATGTCTCCATCCAATCTGATCACCTGCTCTGGCCACAAATATGCAAAGACCACAGCATCTCACACGCTGAAACGGTTCTGCTGAAGGGCTATACCACCATGGATGTGACCAAAATCCTATTACCGGCAAATGAGCCGTCTCCAGTTTCTCACTATCAGTGTGTGCTTTGTAGATAAGCTTCCGTGAACATTCTGATCAACCCCTTGGGCTGAATTCCCAAAACAGGTCTGGGGACAGAGAGGTGAGCACATCTCAGGGTTCTCAGCACCAAACTGCAAGGCCACCCTGTGAGTGTGCTTATGTCACAGTGCTCCAAGTGCTTGGGATGTGGCCACATTTGCCTGCTAGCAACAAATGAAAAGAAACAACCAAATTACTAAAAATTTGGAAAAAGGAAAGCAGTCTTCCCTTCCGCTTTGGCACAGCCGCCAAACCACTGTGAGGCCGTGACTCTGGCCTTCACCTGCACACACTTTGTTGTGTGTCTGGATGCCAGGGCACCTCACTCAGAGGAATGCTCAGACATACAGCAACACCTGGCATTTACGAAGCACCCACATGGCCTAGACCCCGGTCTGCATTTACCTAACCCTTGTAAAAACACGTGAGTGGCAGGCCCTCACAAGGGAAGTGCATGAAGAGACGTAAAGAGAGGCCATGAAACTTGCCCAAAGGACACACACAACAGAAGGGCCAGACTGATCCTCAAGCCCAGAGAGCTGTACTCTGGGTGGGCTGCAGGACAGACCCACTGTCCATTTTGCTGCAGTCCTTAGCAACAAAGGCGCGCTTTTTATTGGTTTCATTATTGAACAACATGAGAAAATTTCAGCACCAGCACACGGTCCTAAATTCAGTTCCCGGTAGTGCAAAATCAGAAATTTTTCTAAAAGACAGGACATAACATATTCAGAGTTAGGGTGAGGGAAAACAATTGTCTAGCATCTCTTTCCAACAGTAACCTCTCTCAGGAGGTCTGGGGTCACGCCGATCCTGTTCTCAGGTCTGGTGTGCAGTGACCAGGGCGAAGGCCAGAAAGGTGTGTCTGGGACTGTTTTAGCTTAGTCCAGAACAAGACACGTGCCCCTGACCCTTTCAAAGTAAGGGGAAAAGGACACCACTCCTGCCTCCTGCCTGGCTCGCAGGGATGCTATGCAGGCTATGTGTGAAAAGAACAAGAATAACATATTACTGATTTTCAAGCTACAAAAAAAGCTAAACTAGCCGGGCATAGTGGTTCATGCCTGCGGTATCCCAGCACTCAGGAGGCTGAGGCAGGAGGATTGCTGCAAGTTCAAGGCCAGCCTGGGCTACATAGTGAGACCCTGTCTCAAAAAAAAAAAAAACAAAAAACCAAAAACAAAGCTAAATTATTTCTGAAAAAGATATAGCAGCAAACAACAAGATTTGATGTTTACTACATACTATATTGCCAGGCACGGAACTAAGAGCTTTATTTTATTTTTTAGTCCATGTTTATAGTATATAATGTTTACATTCCTTGTGGGGAGCTGGTACATGTACAGAATACATTGAAATTATTTTTTCATCCCCTTCCCCTCCATCTCTTGCTCCCCATCCCATTTGAAAAAGATCTCCTTACTTCCAATTATCTATCTTTTGTTTTGCCCTTTATTTATATTTTAGGTTTCTCACATAAGGGAAACTATGCAATATTTTGTGGATTTGATTTCACTTAGCATTATGATCTCAAATGTGCCCATTTCCCTACAAAGGACTCAAGCCTATCCTTCTTTATGGCAGAGTAGTACTCCACTGTATAAACACATTTTCTTCATCCGGTCATCTACTGATGAACAGATGGGCCACTCCCAAGATCTAACCATTATGAATCATGCACTATAAATATGGGTACACATGGGTCACTGCAATATGACATTTTCACTTTTGTGGGGAAGGTACCTAGAAGGAAATAGCTGGGTCAAATGAATTCCCAACTGTCGTGTTTTCAGGCCTTTCCAAACTGACTTCCACAGTGGTTGTATAATTTACATTCCCCTCACAATGAAAAAAATTTCCCTTTTTCCCCCTGCAGCCTTTCCAGCACTTGTTGTTACTTGATTTACTGACGACGGCCATCCTTTCTGGGGTAAGATGGAATACTAGTGTTGTATGAATTTGTATTTCTTTAATGGCTGTTCTTTCATGAATTTAGTGTCCATCTGTACTTCTGAGAAGTGTGTATTCATTTCAGTTGCCCGTTTTCTGACTGAGTCTTTTATTTTGAGGGTCTAATTTTTTTAACTCTTTAATTATTCTACATGTTAGTCCTCTGAGAAATAGCTTACAAAAATCTTTTCCCATTCTGTAGGTTGACTCTTCACTCACTGGTTGTTTCTTTCTGCACAGAAGCTTTCAAACTTGATATGATCCCATTTGTTGATTCCTGGTGCTCTCTTCTGTGCAACTAGGGTTCTGTTCAGCAAGTCCTGGCTTCCACACACCTATGACTTCAAGGGCTATTGATTTTATCTTCTAGAAGGTGGAGTGCTTCTGTAGTCTAAGGGCTTTACTGATATTAACTTAACAAATCGACAGCATTCTAAGAAGTAAATACTACTATTGTCCCCACTTTAGAGACAGAGAAAAGGTAAATACTTTTCTGGGGTCAGAGCCAGCAAATGACAGAGACAGCCAGGCGTAGAATCCAGGAAGTTCGTAGCCAGGGGCACAGCTCTAAATGCCATGCCAGGGTCCCACCCTGTGACAATGTGGATGTGCAGTCTGAAATCACTCAATCAGGGAATCTCTGTACGATCTCTTCAAGTCCACATGTTGCCCTCAGATTTACCCTGCACAGTGTCTCTGGTGAATACGGACCCAGAGCATGAAAAGGTTTAAAACAAAACCCAAGCTATGAATGGTATTAAAGAGTGAGACCAACATGCTCGACTGAGTCAGGCAGCCAAGGGCAAAAAGCAATCGTTTACAAAATTTCACCAACGCTTGGACATTCAGGGACTTCAATGTAATCTAGTGGTGAATAAGCTGTGTCCATGAGTGACTCTGAGCAAGGTCACATTTCCTTAACTGTAACAAAAGGCAAAAAGAAGAGGAACCGGACACGGTCAAGGTCGTGGTAAAACTTCAACACTCTCGACGCTTTAACAGTGTCATGATTTTTAAGGCGGATCTGGCCTAGCCTACTGACTTCTGGTTTTGTCCACTCTGTAAGTTTGGAAGCTGCCTGGTGACCTTTCCTTGAGGACAAGATGGCTCCAAAACTGCCTGTACTTTCCTTCCCAACTGAGTGCACCTCTACCCCTCTCTCCCTAAACGGATGGCCCAGCTAAGAGCAGCAGGACGAAAAGATCCAAAACCAGGGAAGGGCATAGTCTGAATCCTACCAGGAGAGAAAGGATGGGGGCCTGAAGCCCTCTGGTGTGAGGCACCCGCTTCCAACCTGAAGTGTTCAAAGTGCAGCGCTGTGTCTTGTTGACAATGACAGCAGCCGTGCTCAGCAGTACCATATGGGATCCACAATTTAGCTCCATTAATGCTCTTAATTTGAAGACATCAAGCCCTAATTACACACTGGGTACTAAAAAGGCAAAACCCTTCCCTGGTGCCAGCTACTTAGTGGTACTCTGTTGCCGGAACAGCTGGCTGAAGTAGGCGCAGGCCAAGCGGCTGCAAGAGCTCTCAGGTGGAAGAGACTGGCCCGAGCAAGAGCTCGGGGAACAAAGGCCCCCCTCACCCTCACCCTCCTACTCCCCCGGCAGTGCAGTCCCCTTCAGCACCAGGGGCTCCCGATTCAGGATGAGTCAGTTCCCGGGGACTCAGGGTGGGGCGGGGGCTCACCTCCTGCTCCATGTTGCCATGCAGCCGCAGGAATTTTAATCGTGTGGAGGCAGATGGCGCCTGCCCGGACGCAGGAGCCCCCTTGCTGCTCGACAGGGTCTGGAGGAAGAGGTTGTAGTGGAACTCCACCAGCTCGCAGCTGGAGAAAAAGACAATCATCTTCTGGTCTTTCTCAAACTGTAGGATGAGGGGAAATAAGCACACACTTCTAAGCTCAGGAGACACTGAAGTGAATACTGCTCTTTGGGACATGTTTAGGCTGGCCCCTATCTTGTGGCAGTTCTGAATTATTTTTGAAAACGACAGATATTCTGCTCTAGAAAGAAGAAAGAAAAATGACAGAGCTTGAATCTCAAACAGGAAAATGAATGGACTTTAGGGTGCAGCTGCCCCTTAGCTCTGCCTGCTTCATCTGTTCGAGGTCTGGCACGTCCAAGACAGCCCGGCCCTGACCTTACAGATGCAGTAAATCAGGATGCACCATCCATGGCCTCACAGCCTACTAGAGAGCGTCACCACATGAAACCACAGATGAGCAGACACTGGGGTTCTTTAAGAAACAAAAGCACAGAGCCCACATTTGCCTCATCTCCTACATGTTTCCGCCACCTGATGTCCCTGACGTCCGTCTAGGAAAGATATTTAAGGCCAATTTCAAGGGGGACATTAGAATTACCACTGACCTCGGATTCTTCTACCAGAACCCTGGAGCCTCTGAGTGACAAGATAGATGTTAAGGTCTACATCTGTGAACTCAGAGCTAAGTTAGAAAATTCAGTTTTATTTTTCATGGTGCCTCTACTGCTGCTTTCGATGCTGGACACAAACCAAATAGCTGTTTCTTCCCTGGGCCAGCCAGGGCCAGCCGCAGTCTTACCTTGCATTTCTGCAGGATGAAGGCGGCTAGGCAGACAAGCCGGAGTTTGCTGGGGACCACTGTCACATGCTGCTCAAGACTCTCTGGTATTGCAAAGCTGTCCAGCCTGTTGCTGGCCTGTGGAGGGACAACTCCCTGGCCTGCTCTGCCCTCCAGGGTAGACTGGTCATGGCTTCTGTCCACAACAGAGATGCTGACTGGATTGTGTAAACTGATATCTGCTAGCCGTGTCACGCCTCAGACAAAAAACAAAAAGGAGAGAGGAAATTGGCCACATCTGTGTGCTCTCGCAGCGTCAATCCAGGTTTATTAAGGAAGTCCCAGCACGGATGCCCTCCTGCCACTACGCTGGGGCAGAACACAGCCTAATAACCCATTCATGCCAGCGTCTGCTCTAAGCGTGCACCTGTGGACAGACATCCAAAGGAAGGGAGAGCAAACCTGTAGTACCCCATGCTCAAGTCAGCTTCAAAAATCTCAGATGAAGATAATTCTCTAAGCTTCTTTACTGAGTCACTGCACACCACGAATCTCCAAGAGGGGTGAGGGTGTGGGATTCTCCCTCTTCACGGGCACACTTTGAGGAGTGTCAACGGGTTGTACAATGGTATCTGGCACGTGCATTGTCACAATGTGGCCTGGCAAACGGCCGGCCAGACACAAAGCCATAAGGCGCTTTTGTTGTCCATAAAAGGACTACGTTTACAGTGTGGGTCTGATAAAGTGGTGTAATTTTCTTCCAAGCCTTAGTTTTCCCATCCATAAAAGATTAAGAATTTATCTCCTGAAGAAAGGAGCTAAGGAATAGGTATTTTTAGCTAGGGAAAGGCAGATGATTACACTTGGAAAAGAACAAGAGCCTTGCTTTCTCTGCTTGCAACTTCAACAAAAACCTCCTGAAACCAGTGGGCCAATGGCAGCCGGCCTTGTCTCCCCGACTCCTGGAGTGAGACGCCGGCTCTGGGACCTGCCTTCCTCCCTTTCCTAGGTCTGGGGAACACAGCTGCTGTGCGTGACTGGGTGAGGGCAGCTGGGTGTACAGGACAAAGTGGAAGAACGGTGTTCTGGAGCCAGCCCTCCCCCGGGTCCTCCCAGTTCACCCCCCAGCCCCTCTACTTACCTTCTGTGAGTGTGGCTGACAGCAAGACATTTTGCCGCTTGCGGCACTCGGTGTTCACAGCATTGAGGATCACAGTGATATCCTTTTCAAAACCCAAATCCAGGATTCTGTGATTGTAAGAGAAGAATTGGAAACTAGGTGGAGAGGAAGCATGATGCTAAGTAGTCGCCACAGAGATGGGAGAAACAGCCCTCTCCTCCCACCTTTCCTGCTCCCCGGATGAGGCTCACCTGTCCGCCTCATCCAAAACCAGCCACTGAATGCGGCCAAAATGAATGTTCTTTGTGGACTTTATATGATCCACCAGCCGCCCAGGAGTCGAGATGAGGATATTTATTCCTTTGCGAAGTCTGTTTAAAATTATGGTTAAGAAAAAATACATCAAACAGGGCTGTAGCAACAGAAAACACATGAAAGGGGCAAAGGAATAGATGCAATTCCTGCACATGTGGTACGACATGACAGCAAGGGACACATGGAGTACCTGAGTCACCCGCTTCTACACAGTGCACCTGTTCTGGTCTGAAATTACAGCAAAGCCACAAAGCCTTCACTCTGGAAAGCACCTTCACCACATCACCCAACACCCTCTGTCTGATATCAGACCTTTTAGGACATTCTGGACATGTGGATGGTCATCTGGCCGCCTTGAAGGCTCCTGCGCCAGGGAACCTCCTACCAAGCGGGCTATTTCGTACCAAAGAACTCCAACTGCTACCATGCCTGTTCCTTATACTGAACTCTTCAGCTAACATCCATAAAATGGGCCTAATGTTGCCCACAGAGCATGTAGAATAAGTCTGATTTCTTATTCCCCAGACAACCACTATCCAGTTATTCTAGGTAGCAGACATAATCATTAGCTGGGTATATTTTCTAGTTTTCCTTTCAGGACAGAAAGGCTATACGCTTATGTTAGCAAAGAGATAAAAGGACAAAGGGAATGGGCAAATCACACAAGTGTCTTTGGAGGAAGGAACTATAATCATCTTTGTCCCTGATGGCAAGAAACTAAAAGTAATGGCTGGAGGGGGCTGGGAATTTAGCTTACTGGTTCCACTGTCTGCCTCGCAAGCACAGGACCTGAGTTCGATCCCTGGTACCAATCACTCAATCAAAGTAATGGCTAGAGCTCCAGGAATTATCCAAGATTAAGGTAACCTTGAAAAGGAAAACTACTCACAGGGGCACAAAAAGGAGGAGCCAGGGTCCTGACACTCAAAGGCCAAGCCAGCCCCAATCTGGCTCCATCAGACTTCTCTTCCTTTCCCCTTTGTGACACTGAGGACTAAAACCAGGCCTTCGAAATGAACTCCATCCCAGCCAGCCACTTTTATTTTGAGTCAGACGGGCTGCCCAGTGGCACTCAAACTTGTGACCCTTCTGCAGCCTTCCTCCATGTGGGGATTACAGGTGTGCACCACAGGACCCAGACTGCTTGAATGTGAAAGAAAAAGAAAACTTCTGCATTGTTTGCACTGCTGCAAATTTTACCATTATTATTTATTCTAACCAATACTTTCAGGTGTCAAATTTTATATGGACCCTTCAGTTACAGGCTACATGCAGAGTTGGGTAAAACTACTAAATGTTTTTTGGTTTTTTTTTTGGTACCGGGCATCAAACTCAGAACCTTGCACTACTACTAAATGTTTTTAAAAGAATGCAGGGCCAGGGATTTAGTTCAGTGGCACCAAGCCTGCCCGGTAAGCCCAAGTTCCCGAGTTCAATTCCCCAGTATGGGGGTGGGGGGCACAGACAGTTTGTGATTTACCTGTTGTAACCATTTTCTGCAGATACAAGTTCTAATACAGCTGAAGGAATTAATGAATTTGGGAGGAAAAAAACAAGTTGCTAAGCCTTATATAGGCTTGTGGTCTGTTTTTTTATAAGCCAATCAACAAAACCACAAGCTCCCAATGAACATAGAAGGGAGTCACAACCAAGTGGCTGTGTTGTAAACAAGGGGGCTGCAGGTGCCTGGCGGGCAGGAGTTAGGGAGGCAACAGCACTGTTACTAGCCACATCAGGGGAACCCATTTGTAAGTTTGTCGCTATTTCAAAAAATACCTTGGCCAGGGGCTTAGCTCAGTGGTTCTAGTGCCTGCCTTGCAAGTGCAAGGGCCCAAGTTCGATCCCCAATACCAAAAAAAAAAAAAAACAACAACAACAAACAAGAGAAACCTTGTCTAGGGGTGACCACTCCTCACCAACCAGGTGGGCCCCTATGTCAGGGCTCAGGAGGCACAGGCAGAGACCAGGTTCTCTCTAGTTCATGAGGACCAACTCTTCTGACTAGGACAGAACAGACAATTTCCAAAAAGAATGGACGAGCAAGCCTCTTCCCACCTGGCTTTTTCTGATTTTCTCTTCTCTCCACCCATCAACACTCCAGGGACAATCCAGGTAAATGGCTGCAGAAAGACAATACACCAACATCAATGTAAAGTGCCTTCACCTGCAAATGTAGACAGATTCTAAGTCCTAACCCTCATGCAAGCCAGATAAGAGGGACAACAAGGTCCCATCTGTGTGTGTTAGTGTTACTGTGCACAGTTTGTGCGCACTGCCACATCCAGGGTCAGGATCAGCACTAATTGCGATTATAGCTTCCAACACTACAGGAGACCAGCGTAAGCTTCTTAAACTGATTCAAGTAGCTCCCCTACCTTTCCCCATGGAACCTGACTACAGAACAAAGCCCAGTAACTCTGCTGCCTTTGGGAGGAGGATTAAGACAAAATCCAAACAACAGCTCTCCTACTCCCTGCCCCTGATAAAGGACAGATCAATTTGTGATCCAGTTTGGTGGGGTGGCAGGATCTGACTCTTAAACCTTCTCTCCTCTCTGGAACAAACCGTACTTGCAGCTTTTTATTGCTTTCCATTGGCTCACCTGAGGGTGCAACCTGTTTATCTCTGTATGCTGCTTGCTAGTGACTATGATGAACAGATTATAGGATTTTAAACTGTGGGAAACACTGGTAATTAGCTAAGCTGAAATCAATAGTCATTGAGGTTTACATCGGTTAAAAACTTGCAAATTATATCTACAGAAAGCTGAGATATCCAGGGAAGAGGGAAGTCACAGTTAAGTCCTCTGAAAATAAAGACTCGTGTATTAATTTTTACCCAAAATGTCAGAAAAAAAGACAAAAATCAACTGATGTTTGTCTTACCTTCAGCAGTTTCTGGACAGTGTCAAAGCTTTGTAGAGCCAGCTAAAAATATTACAAAGTTAGACTATGAATACAGTCCCTCCCAACCCCTTTTGTTAAAGGTCACTTACAACGATTAGGATACAAACCTGGACCTCAAGTCAAGCTTAAGGAAAACAAAACAAAAATCTACACACAGAATTTACTCTGGAAATATGCCTTGTAGACTGGCTGTGCAACCTGTCACTTTGGGAGATGAGGGAAACAACATCACATCTATTTCTTAGACATGTACAAAAATAATGTTTTGTGCTCCCTCTGCTGGCTCAAATTCCCAGAGTGTCACACAGAGAAGTTCATATCTACAGTCCTTGGATTTGGCTCCGGTTAGAAAGAGAAAGAATGTGACATGAACGAAGGGATGCACTAGAATAGTTGCACAACAGGCTGGCCTTCGAGGATCTTGCCTCAAGGTGATCTGCTGTGTCTTCAAGCAGAAGACCAGGCCAGGATACCTAAAGACTGGCAGGGGGGTCATTCTCAAATTTACAAAAACAAAACCCAAAACAGCAACTCCAGGGGAAACCAAAGAAAGCGAAAATTAATGTAGGTTATAACTATTCACCATATTAAAAATGTCTCTACTGACTCTTCTTATGAAAGGGTGGTATGTACACAGTTTCTACATGTTTGGATTCTGGAAGCATCCCTGGGAAAGAACAACTCTGCTGCTGTAAAATTTGAAGTAGTCTGTTCTTTGCTGTACTGGGCAGAGACAGGCACTGCAGAATGAATAAAGGGTTGACCTGAAACTGCATCTGGCACAGAAAGTGGACACCTAGCCCTAAATTGCCCCATAGGCAAATACCACAGATCAGACAGAAGAGATCACCACCAAGAAAAGACAAACATTACTGACACGCCTAACTTCCAGAATGAGTTAAATTTTACCAGCAGTAGCTTCTTTCACAAAGTTAGTTTTCAGAGCTGTTTTTATTTTTGAATTGTTTTAAAGGAAAAAAAAACTTAAAAAGATGATTCTTTTAACTTCTTTAAAGGGACAGAGATTTAATATCATTAGTTTTTAGATAGCAAGGAAATATTTTCCCATACATAGAATTTTCAAAAATATTTGAGTCTTTCTTCTTGATAGGAACCAAGGATGGTTCCCACAGCCAGGAAGGAAGTACGCAGTTGTGTGGCAGTGGTGGGACAGTGGTCAAGTCGCTTCCAAGTCACCAGGACATTACTGCAAGTCTGCAGTTAAGACTCACACCATGCCAAATCTCTTACCTCTCTCGTAGGCACCAGCACCAGAGCATAGGGGCCGTCACTGCGCTGTCAACAGAGAATAAGACGCTGTGAGCAGGGCCGAGACCCCAGATCCAGGCCGACAAGCTGAGTGCAGCCAGTGGTTCACCCCATGCACCACCCGGCATCACAGGACATCGCTCGGGTTGCCCTGGTCAAGTGCAATCAGACAGACAGACATGACCCATAGACAGGAAAAGAGGCAGGAGGCATCATTAGGAGATTGTCATTTTAGTTTAGGAAATAAAAGAAACTTTGAGAATCACCTGAAAAATTACTCTAAATCAGGTATTTCAGTCAAGTTCTGAATACAAAATTAATATATAAAGGTCAGTAGCCTTCCAATATAGAAAGTGGGAAAATACAAAGGAAGGAAAAAGTTCACACTTACAATGGCAACAAAAAAGATAAAAATGTAAGCTTAATAAATGTGCAAAGGGTACATGATGAAAAATTTAAAACACCTCCAAGAGGCATAAAGTACAATTTGAGTAAGTCAAAAGATGTAACTGATTCTTGGATAGGAAGGTCCAATGCTCTAAATTAATTCTCCAAATCAATCCCTAAATGCAGTGCAATTCTAACACCCTCAGAGAAGGGTGTGCACAGATGCATGTGCACAACATACCAGGCAAGACTGCCGCAAAGGAACTTTGTAGGAAAAAGAAACGCAAAAATAACTACATATTTATTATGAAAAACTTATCAGATGTTCTTTTTTTTTTTGAGACAGGGTTTCAGTATGTAAGTGAGACTGAGCTGGAACTCACTATGCAGCCCAGGCTGGTCTCGAACTCACAGTGATCCTCCTGCCTCAGCCTCCCGAGTGCTGGGATTACAGGTATGCACCACCTCGCCCAGCTAGATGTTCTTTATTTATTTATTTTTTGGTACGGGGATTGAACTTGAGTCCTTGCGCTTGCGAAGCAGGTGGTGGAACCACTGAGCTAAATCCCTGGCCCTATCAGATGTTAATTTAAAGCTACAGCAGTTTAAGAAATACTGGTGAACCGGGTATGGTGGCGCACACCTGTAATCCCTGCTCTGGGGAGGCTGTGGCAGGAGGATTGCTGCAAATTTGATGCCAGCCTGGGCTACACAACGAGTTTAAGGCCAGCCTGAATTATAAAGCAAGACCTTGTCTCAAAAAACAAACAAACAAAAAACAAACCAAACACAAACAAACAAACATACAAAACCCCAAAAAACTGGTACACAGAGATTATAATATCAAGCAGTGACTAGAACAGGATGAAAGATATCACAGAAGCTGGGTGTGGTGGCACACACCTGTAGTCCCAGCATTCTAGTAGGCTGAACAGGAGGATCAAGTTTGAATATAGCCTGGGTAATTTAGCAAGACCATGTCTCAAAAAATACAAGAGGGCTGAGGATATAGTTCATGAGAAGGCCCTGGCTTTAATCTCCAGCACCATCAAAAAAAAAAAAAAAAAAAAAAAAAAAAAAAAACGGGAAAAAATACAAGGGTCATTTTACTGTGTATCATTAGAGAAAAAGTCAATTCAGGAAAGTTCTTTCAGGAAAAAAAATAAAGCTAAAATTAGTTGGCCTTTTTAGATGATATAAAGCTCAGATATCATAAAATACCAATATATTTTAGTAAATAAAATTTGAAAATTCAGAATAGAAAAACATGCCCACAAAAACCCAAGAGTCTAATGACAATACAGGGGAAAATATGCCACTCCTAAGAGAAAATGCTGATTTCCTTAACTTATAAAGAAATCCTATAATTTAGAGTCAGCAACTCAAAGAGGAAAAAAGAGAAAAGTCAATAGCTAATTTATGAAAATTAAAATGGAAAACATGGCTATTACACATTGAAATGATGTCAACTTTACTCATAAAAGGAATTCAAATTCAAGTTACGAGTGGTTTTCTCATTAAATGAGCCAAAGTCAAAGAGCTGATGGGCATCAAGCGCAGGAGCAGGAGGGGCTCCTGTGTACTGCTGGCGAGAGAGCACTCTGGTGAAATGCCTCCAAGAGAAACCCGAGCTGGCCAGGGTGGGCAACTGGAATTTCAGCTACTTAGGAGGCTGAGGCTGGAGGATCTTGGATTGAGGCCAGCCTGGGCAACATAGAAAGGTCACATCTCAAAAAAGGATCAACTCTGGCATTAGATATCAAAATAAAAACACAAATTCCACTTACAGGAATTTTTCCTACAAGTACAAATGTGCGCACAAAGAAACTGTAGAATATTTTATGGACTGTGGAATATATTTATAATACCCTCATCTGTAGCAAAATGCTGGACATAAAATAAATCTACCAACCTTCAAGGGAATCACTCAGTAATTTATGGTATATACTCATATTGGAATACTAGGCAGCCACAAAAAAGAACATGGCAGCTCTATGTAGTACGGATGAAAAACCATTCCTAAAAATAAAGGAACACACATAAAGACACAGAACAGCATGCACCTGAGTACCAAACCAAAAAGAAAAACAAACAAGACCTCACAGGAAGCGAGCAGACATGCAAAGAATATCCCAGGGAGGAGACACCAGAGACTGGTAGCAACAACTACTGTGTCTTGAGAAGCACACGGTTCCCTGAGGAGAAGGGGTATGGGGTACTTTTCACGCTATATATTCTTGGTGTTCTGATTTTTTTTTTTTTGGTGTCCTGAATTTTAAAAACTTTTTAGGTACATTACATGATGATGATGACAATGACACTACTAAAAGAAACCAAAGCAATCTGATGAAGGCCCTACGTTAATGGTGCAAGACATAAAAAGAGCTCAGATGATGAACCAAAACAAGTTTAGTGCAAAGACTAAAGGCAGATTTAGCAGCAAATTCAATTACAAGTATGGCCTTCATGTTTTGCATGAGAAACATTTACCCACAAGGAGACAGGATTTAGAAGTCAAACTGGAGTAGTCCGTACCCAGCACCAACTTTCTGAGACAACGCTGGAGCCAGGGCTGGGAACAGTAAACATGCCAGTACAACAGGATTAACGTGCCACCATGTGACATTAGAGATTCTGACATTTCAAAAGGTGCTACGACAGGAGCTGAAGAAAGAAAAATCAGTTCCTCTCAGGGCACGATTATAAGGGAAGCACAATAGATACGATGTTAGAAAATCAGAGCCAAAGTATCTGAACAGGTGTGAACAGAGAATCAGTCCCTTCTCATTTCATCACTGAAGTAACCTGAGAATCTGCCGTGTGCCTCTTGAATTTGCCGCTGTCTCGGAGAAGTTTTTTGCAGGTGAGATCATTTTACAATGAACTCCGAGGGACTATATTGCACATGACTTGAAATAAGTGAATTAAATAGGGGTTTGGAAAACTGTTTTTACAGAGTATTTCGGTCTAGGAGAATAATATGCTAGTGATATTTTAAAATATCTGAGCAAATAAAAAATGACATGGCTTGATATCAATGGCTCTGGAAGGCGTGTGCAGATACCAGGTCTCAGGGAGTCACAGGCACAGCTCACCACCTCCATCTCAGCCCCAGGAGACAGGCACTACTCGTGTCCTCACCCACAGGGACAACACTGAGGCAAAGAGAGGGAAGGAACAAACTGCTCCCGGCTCCCCTCTGGGCTGGGAGTACTGCAATGCCAGAGCACGTGCTTAGCGGGCATGAGGCCCTGCGTTCAATCGCCAGCACAAAGAAAAAAGTCACACTCAGACCCACAGTCAGAGCACAGGTGCCCAGCAAACTGCACACACGATGTGTGTCATCCAATCTCTGGTCCTCAGCTGCCGCTCTAGGAAGAGAGATGGGCTGGAACCCGTAGGACTTGATACAGCCCAGATATTTCCAAATTCCCCACCCTGGTGTGAAAAAACTTCCTTTACTGCAACAAGCTCTCCTGCAGTACTTAAGTGGATGAGCCTTCACTACACAGGTGTAAAAATTTACATTTCCTCTTCTCTCACTGTGTCAGGGAAAATCCTAAGCACTGTGCATGAAGGACCTCACTGTAAACTGCTTAATAAGGAGAAAAAAAATCAGTTACCTTTAGGAAATGAAATCCCTCATTTTCCACCACAGAGAAAACCAGTACAAACGATTTGCTAAGTGTCGTTCTGGTTTATTATCCGTATAAACACACAGGCTACATGTATGGAACTAGAGTTACAGAACATACTGCTTTGCAACTTCTTTCTTCACTGAGTATGGCAAGATCACACACTCAATAATTTAAAGAAATGTCACTTCCAATGGTTACATAGGGTTATATTGTTTGGATGACTTGTAGGGTTTCTTTTCCAGCTGATTTAAAAAATATTTTAGCCTACTTTTTAGCTCAAATGTTTTAAGCTAATTTTTAAATAGCTTCAGACTTACAAAACATTGGAAAAATAGTACAAGGAATTCTCATCTTTCTTGCTCCGTTTCTCCATGATATCAATCACCAAAATCATAGTATAATTACCAAAACCAGGAAATCAACATGGAAATCCTATTACTCAGACTTCATCAGCTGACCTATAACTGCCCTGTATTACAACTGCAGCCACCCAGGACCACCCTTTCAAGCTGGTTCTTCAGTGAGCACCGTGACGCTTCTGAAGAATACTGACCAGCTATCTTGCCCCTCAATTTTAGTCTGCCTAGTGCTTCCTTCCCAATTGAATTCAGGTTAAGTGTTGCTGGCAAGAACACCACAGGAGCCATGTGCCCTTCTCAGGAGGTTCCGGAGGCGACACATCTTGGCTCTGCTGTCAAGCCACTGACTTCATTAAGAGGTACAGTGTGTGGCACTCCGTGGAGACTACGTAAGACCCTACTTCCCCTCACACAGACCTCTGCTCGTGTTAGACTGCACGGTGAGGACCCAGGCCTGAAACAGAATTACTGAGGGATTTACCAAATGGTGCTTCTCTATGTCCACCACTTCTGCATTCATTATCGGCATTCTGCCACAGAGGTTTTTCCTTCTGTTTGTGTATTTACTCAGTAACAGTGTAGAGTTGAGGATATGTTTTATCCAGGGACCATAAAGCAGTACTATTATTACTCATTTGGTCACTCATGTATCAGGTAAGCCCGATGCATGTCCGAACTGAGAGAAACAGCCACCCATTATCCCCCATTTTGTACACTCACCTTACTTCCTATTTCTCCTCTTACCACTTCCATTCAACTGACTGCGCCTATGGGACTTGGCTGCAGTGTGAGATGAGGCCTATGTCCATGGACACAAAAGCTAACTGGCCTTCCTAGAAACCCATTTTGGCTTCTTTGGCCCAGGCATTAACTCAGTATATTTCATAACTAAAGATAAGTTCTAATACTGTTAGGTATGTGGCAGCCCAACTGCTAACTCATTAACTGGCTGCTTATTTTCACATCTGCTGTTGATAAACCACTGTTTTACATAGAAACTTCAGCCTCCTTGGTCAAAAGTAAGTAACACTTACTTAGAACAGGAGGTTGAAATTTAACTCCACAAGATTTACAACAGAGACTCAAATTAAAGCATAAACAGAAAGCTGCAAATTAAATCATTTGGAGACACTTCCCAAGCAGTAATTCTTTAGGAGGCCCAACAGTGGGCCCTGTGGAAGACACAGAGAAAAGGCCCCTAAACAGCACAGGGGCCAGCCATGGACCACACCTTACAAACACAATGTGGCAGCTAGAGCATGGGCTCTGGAGCCAAACAAAGGGAGGGGAAAATCCAGTTCTACCACAACTCATTGCATGGCTTTAGTTATTTTACTGTCCTGAGTGTCTGTTTCTCTTCGTAAGACAGGCATCAGTTTGGTAGGAGCAAGAAGGTAACATAGCAGAGCAGTTAGCACAACGTCCGGCATGTGGAAAGCACGTTATGTGTTTCCTAGCACATATACGGTGCTTATTAAGAGTGATTATGAAACGCATTTATTCCATCCACTCTCAGCAATGTGTAGACAAAACATGCGTGCATAATAAATGAATGAAAAGGAGGTGAAAGAACAATGCCAAGTGCAAACACATCTTTCAGTTCCAATATTACCACCATGGTTCGGTTGGATGGACACCTATCCATGACGGACAACAGCAGAAAGACAGTTTATACTCACTTGTATTTTTGACTTCATTGCTTGAAGGGACTGGACCATGGGGATGCAATAGGCAAGAGTTTTACCTTTTAAAAGAGTGCAAAAGTAAGTAACACTTTAGAACTTAGAACAGGAGGCTGAAATTTAACTCCACAAGATGTACAACTGAGGCTCAAATTCAGTTAAAAGGGAAAGAGGCTCTGTTCTCCTTAGTAGTACAAAATTCTAGAAGGTAAACTGCACATTCTACCTCCAAGAGCGGTAAAAAGGAACTTCACCTCTGCTCCAACTTCTAATTTTACTTTGTAAATTTAGTACTTCTAAAAACCACAAAGCTTCAGCAACTTTACACAGAACTGAGGGGACGGTACATTTTCCAAATGGCACAAAAGCTCAACGGCTGTGTAGCGAAGCTGGACATGCCTCCCCTGAGTCCCTCTTAACTTCTCTGACGAGTCCTGGTGGTCATTACTTGTTCTCTGTAGTGCGGATGGCCAGTGTGAACCCCAGGGCAGTATCCAGAGATACAGAAGCCACAGGAAGGCAGAAGCTCTGGGTCTCCACGTGGCTGGGCCAGAAGGAACGGATGGACAACAGCTGCCCTGACTGAGGGCACGGCCGGGCCCAAGAGGGCCAGAGGACCATCTAGCCAGACAGGGTTCTCTCTCCAGCACCATGACTGCATCCAAGCAGCACAGAGTGTGCTCATGGCAGAACTGTTTTAATATCAGAATGGTCACCGTAGAGAGGGCACGGACAGCTGTGGCCATGGACAGTGGGACGTGGCAAAGCCACGAACTGGGTTTCGGGGAAGTAATGGCAGAGGTCAGCTATGTGCTCATCATTCCTGACCACAGCGCCAGCCACGATCCCTTCCTTCTTTACAAAACTGAACACATTTTGTGAACAAATTCAAGGGTCTAATCAGGAACAAGCACAGCTCCCTCCCCCAAAATAAGAAAAACAGCCACTGCTGCCAGACACCCCCTCAGAGCCTACCAGCATGACTGCGGGCCTTGTGCCATGGGACGAAGGGCAGAGACTAAACAGCGACTGACCTGAGCCGGTCTGGGACCGCACGAGGGCATCTCTGCCTTCCAGCAACACAGGAATACTTTGCTTCTGAACACTAGGGCCGCCCAAAAGAGAGAACACACTTCATCTATAAATATCGGTCGTCTATGTGTCCAGACGGACATATAGGTTTCCTTGCCCTCTTTAGCAACTGCCCGCTTACAAGTGCTGGGAAGAGCCGGGCATGGTGGCGCATGCCTGTCATCCCAGCACTCGGGAGGCTGAGGCAGGAGGATCACTGCGAGTTGAGACCAGCCCAGGCTACACAGTGAGTTCCAGGTCAGTCTCACTACACAGTGAGACCCTGTCTCAAAAACAAAACAAAAAAAAAAAAAAAGTAAAAAAAAAAAAAAAAAAAGAAGTGCAGGGTGACTAGGATAAATCCCTAGTGACATTTTGGAACTTAGCTGAAAATGGTGACACAAGCCAGAGACTGGTCATTGTATTAAACTCACTTTTAAAAGAAGTGGATAAGCATGAAAACAAATTAGTTACCACAAAGTGTGGCATACTCTCATGCCTTCTGAGGTAGGGAACGTGGGGAACAGGACAACACAGGGCAAGACTTCAGTGCAGGAGAGCAAAAGGATGCCCGCGAGCTATCCAGACAGCCAGCAGCGCCTGTCCGTGCGCCAAGAAACTGTCATAAACACATGGAGAGATGTCTGTGTATGCACTTAAAACCAAACAAGGGCTGGGGACTTAGTTCAGTGGTTCCTCTGCCTGCCTCACATGCACAAGGACCCTGAGTTTGATCCCTGATACCAAAAAAAAAAAAAAAAAAAAAAAAAAAAAGAAAAAAGGTAAAAAAACAAAAACAAACCAGACAACAAAAAAGGATAGAGAAATGATTTAAATTTGGTTGACAAAGCAAGCAAACAAACAACAAAACTGCTGGTGGGAGCTCCAATATTCAATATTCTTAACTTTACTTAACAGTAAAAGGTGAGCATTGACATGTACAAGGCAAGCAATATGTACTCAGAGTGGGGAGTGTGTCCCCTCCCCAAACCCTTTCCCTTTCTATTTTCCAAGAGTTATCATTATTAAAAAATCCTAAAGCATTATTTCAGCATCCCATTATATCCAACCATCTACTTCTCTCTCTCTCTTTTTTTTTGCTTCCAGGAATCAAGCTCAGGACCTTGTGCTTGTGAGGCAGGTGGAGGAAAAATTGAGCTAAATCCCCAGCCCTTCATCTACTTCTTTTGAGTTGACCCTAACCCTTACTGCTAAGAAATGACATGAGCAAATTCTGCATTTTGGCCAAATGATTTTGAGGGAAGCACAGACAATATATCTTCTGAATCAGATTATCAGACACAGTTTAGAGCTGAGCAGAACTGGATGGAAAGCTAGCCTCTCTGTGTAAAAGACGGGGAACCCGAATGGATAAAAGCTCTGTCAAAGCCTCTATGGTCCATATCCTGGCACTGTTCTCCAGCATCAAGATTTGGATCTCATCTGGTTCTACCCACTTAAGACTTAAGAAAATCCAGAGTAGCCTGGAACTTTACCTGGTCATACTGGATACTTTTAAGACTGTGTTTATTGTAGAAACCTAAAAGAGAAAATAAAAATTTTTTTTTCTTTATCAACTTTTTGATAAAAACTTATATAACAGAAAAGACACAAACCAAGGACAGAATACTGGAATTGCATTGATTAGCAGGATCACATTCAGTTCCCCCAACTTAGTGTTTCTCAAGTGGAGGGATTTATGATGTGTGTCAGTATCTGGAAAATACTTTGGTTGATACAGCTGGGAGTGGGTACAATTGGCACCTAAGTGGGCAGAGGCCCAGGATGGACAGAACAGTCCCCTTAACAATGAGTCACCTCGTCCAAAACATCTGCTTTACTAAGGATAAAATTCCCTGCTCCATCTTTGGGCAAGAAAACCACCACCCCATGGAGCCCACCTTAAAGAAGGGGTGCACACGCTGCACCCACTCAAGCAAAGGCAAGCAAGGTTTCCAAAATTTAATAATTCCCCCCCATCTATATTAAGTCTAGAAAACTCACTCATGACATTACGACAAAGGAAAAGAATGCATTTAAAGTAGCCTGTTCTTCCCTGCACATCCCTTAGCAGCAAGAAGGCAGCTCAGGTCCTCTGCCTCGGCTACTATGCCATCTGCCACCACGAACGACTTCGCCTCCCCACCCAACAATCAGGAAGCCGTGTGAAGTCTAGTTAGTGAAGTGCTAAACTGCATTATGTGAGGAAAGTCTCTGGTTCTTAAAACAAGGATGGGGAGCGAGCAGTGACCTCTGCACATGTGTCTTGCTCTAGCAGGAGAATGTGCCGTCAGCCTGGGAGCAGAAACAGACACTCTGCACGCACGCGCGCACACACACACACACACACACACACACACACACACACTGACCACTCAGACCCACAGAGCACTGCGTACTCACCAGGTGTGGGTGGAGGCACAGCTCATGGAAAGCCTCAGGAGTGAACACTTGTTCTCGCATCTGCTTTACCACAGGTCTGCGAATCCAGACACCGGTGCCAATGTTAGCAAGGGAAAAGCAGAACATACTCAATTCCCTCTATTTCGGAAGTGCATCTGCACCTGGACATACCTGTGGAGTTCTGGGATTTCAGGGTTGTTTTTAAACAACGATGAAGTCTTAATGCACGGTTTCTCCTCTTGCTTTCTATCACCTGCGTTAACCGAATACTTCCTGGGAGAAAAAATTTTTTGTGATTTCCCCTTGAAAGTCCTTTGAGTTTCTTTCACACCAGTTTTGTTGGCTGAGAGAAAGGATATTTCATTCCTCCGTTTTGCTGGGGGAGCTTCACTCGACACTCGGTGCTTCCTCTTGGTAGCCTTTGCTCGCTGCGTTGTTCCCAAATGGAAAGATCAAGAAGAGATGCATTAGTCCATGAAGACAGACCTGAGAGTGAAGCCTGACTGCCCACAGAATTGCATCTCTTCCTGCAGAGATCATTATGCCCCATATGCCAAGCAACAGTTTAGGGTTTGCAATGAGATCCGCTGATGACTTTTTTCCAAAAAGAAAAAAAAAATAGACCCTCACCATCATCCATCTTAACTGCTAAGTCACTCAAGCACTCGCAGTGAGGGAGAAGGTCAGGAAGACAGAGACATTTTTCAAGCTGTTAGCCAATGATTAAGTCTGTTACAGGAAGCAAGCACCCACCTTGTGAAGTGCGCACACTAAGTCAACCCACACCCCTAGCAATCCAACTGCGTGACAGCAGCGGCTGGAGAGAGGAATCTTTTCTCTCCACCAACAAAGCATGTGGAGACTACAAGGGGAGACAGGGATGGGAAGCCGTGTCCCAGGGCGTGCCCAGGAAGCGGAAACCTTCATTACCTCTGTACCCTAGCGCTTGGATCTGTGTCTCCCCTCAAGCTTCTCCTCCAGACTCAGATGGCTGCAGACACCTGGCCTCGCCATTCCCGGTCCGAACGGGAGCGCAGCCGCACCCATCACCCTCATCTCATCATCTCCAGCCCTCCCGCCTTTTGCCGCACAGGCTGTGCCCCACTAGGCCCGTCGCGCCTGGTGCTCATCTGCACGACATCAAAGTGATTCAATGCATGACATCCCAACTTCCCCAGGAAAAGAAAAACTTGACTCTTATTTTTTCCTGGTCTTTTCTTCCCACCGACAAAAGTAGCCATTACTCGTCACTCTGCAGTTTTGGAACAAGCTCTTTTCCACTTTGCTCGAAGCAATGGCTTATGTTTATACACTGGTTTGCTTTAGTGAGTATTGGCTTCAGACTAACTTACTAATAAAAACAACAGCTCCTGCCGGGCGTGGTGGTGCACACCTGTCATCCCAGCACTCTGGGAGACTGAGGCAGTAAGGTCGCTGTGAGTTTGAGGCCAGCCTGCACTACTTAGTGAGTTCCAGGTCAGTCTCAACTACATACTGAGACCCTGTCTCAAAAAACCAAAACAAAAAAAACCCAACCCCCCCCAAAGAAAACAGTTCTTTTGTCCTGACAACCATAAATACCCCTTTATTGAAGTAAATCAATAAATGTAACTTCAAATATTTAGTGTTACTCTACAATATTACTTTTACAAAGTCCCAAGTTTATGAGTTTTCAGAATTAAAGAAAGAAAAGAAGCTTCAGGTTTGTTTGAATCACTTGCAAGAGAGTAAGAAAATTTCAGATTTCACCTGATTTACACACTGAGAGGCACAAAAAGGCCTGAAGGCCATTCTTACCACACACAGAACTGAACTCCTATTATGGGTTCCCTGGCAGGTACCCTGCAGCCCCTGTCCACACATCCCTTTCACGCCAGGAGGCAGCTTACCCTGCTCCTGACTTTCCACCACTCAGGCAAGCTCTGCCTCCTGGATGTCTGTCTACCACTCTGCAGCATGCTTTCCACCAAGACACAGAACATGCTTACTATTTCTCCGTGTACACAACCTTCCCGCACAGCCTGCACCTCCCTTTTCCTTCTCTCAGGACTTCCTATTCCAAGTAGTATGCCAAGGTTAGACAGCTAATCAACTTGGTCACTCTTTATTCTGCTGTCAATGTCTCTCTAAAGGAAGGACTCAGCGTGAAGCACAGCATTAGACAGGCTTTCCCCTGGTCCAGGCCAAAGGTGAAAATCTGCGAGAAGATCTACAAAGCCCGTAAAATACGGTCTTCGCCCACCTCACCAGCTCCCCTTTCCGCTTTGCTGCTCTGCTCTTCCTCAATGCCCTAGAACGCACAGCACCGTCCTTCCCTCCCTGCCACCACCAACATTCCCTCTGGCTGGCTAACCCACACCCACCACTGCTGGAGGCTGACCTCCACCCTCAGATGAGACCTTCCTGGCCTCCCCTCTCCGCTGCATCAAGCCACGCCTCTGTGTCCTGGCTCACCCCTACTCACCTCTGCACAATAAGAACTCAGCGCAATAAGATCAAAGCATGCAATTCCTGATTTGGTGTGCATCCGACACATCAGATTTTAAGCTCCAAAAAGAGACAAGTCTGTCCTGGGTGGCACCACATCCTCTGCACGAACCCATGACTGGCGCACAGTGAGCGCTCAATACATAGCAGCCAGATGACTGACTGACACACAGCGCAATTGTTCCTTTCCACAATTCAGACCCTATTCTACTACTTATTGGCCTTATCCTCCAGCAACAGCACACTCATTCAGCAGTGGTCTCTTGGTACTGAAGATTCAAACCTGGAAGATGAGCCGAGCCCTTGAGGAAGTAACAGACAAGACAGAAGTGCAGAGTTGAAAATCCCAACCTTTGTATAAAAGAGGCACGTGCCAAGGGGAGAAAGCAGAGGAAATGAACTCCCCGTATATGCTAAGGTGACTTTTGAGCAGAGAGGAAATAAGGACATAACTGGAGACACTAAAAACGAGCTGTGCGACATTAAGCAAGTCTGTTCATGCCCCTGTGAAAGAAAGGGATGATGGCAGATGATCTCTAGGGCCCACCCAGCCCAAAAGTCTAAGACACCAAGCCTTTGAAATCAATAAACACACTGAGAAACTACGACATGCCAGGCAATATGCTAAGTGTTTACATCAATGATCTCATCTGTTAATATAGACAGCAGCACCGTTCTAAGATGAGGGCACTCAGGCACAGATGTTAGGCTCACTGGAATAACCAGCCTTTGCCTAGGCATTATGGATCTGCACCCCGGGTTCCTGATAACAATGCTATCATGCCTTTTTATTAACTGCATTCTGTACAGTTATAAAACATCTTATATGCCGGACATGGTGGCACACACCTGTAATCCCAGCATTCAGGATGCAGAGGCAGGAGGATTGCCATGAGTCTGAGGCCAGCCAGGGTACACAGTGAGTTTAAGGCCAACCTGAACTACACAGTGAGTGAGATCTTCTCTTAAAAAGCAAAAATAAGGGGTCAGGGATTTAGTTAAGTTGTGTCACCACCTGCCTTGCAAGTGCAAAGACCAGAGTTTGATCCCTGTACCAAAAAATAAAATAAAATAAAATAATGTGAGATTTGATTGCTGCTGTCTTCTAGAAGGATATATACCAAAATGTGAACAACAGTTACCAATGAAGATGGCAATTAACCTTTCCTCAAATTTTCTAAAATGACTTTGTATTAACTTAATCAGAAAACATCCTTAGAAAATATTCCAGTGTTGGACATAGCAGCATAATTTAAACTATTAAGATCTTTCCAAAACCAGTATAATACCTGCTCATCCTGAGTCTAGGCTTCTGGCAAATCCGATCAAATCTGATCATTCCCATACAAGGCACAAACCAAAACACAGATGCAGACAAGTCCACTGATAAACCTGTCATCACCTCTGAATCAAACTCCTTTGATACCCTGGTTTAAGCAATTATAAAGCCAAATCCCCTGCTTATTTACTTAGTCCACTCAATAAGGTTCTAGTAAGAGCTCTCCATGCGTTAGTTACCAGGCGTTGTACAAGAGACAAGCACCTCCCCGACCTCCTGATGTAGTAAACTTACCCAGAATGGAGCCAGTTATCACTTTACTTTATTACAGGCACTTATTAGTAAGTCACTCTGGGTATAGGGGCCTTAGATATATGTATAGGATCTTGCTGGATTGTCAGTCGTCATCTATGAAGTAGCAACTCTTACTCCCATTTATAGGTAGGGAGAGTGAGGGTGAAGGGGTTAAATAACTTCCCCCTAGGTCACACAGCTAGTATTTGTTGCAAGGCTGGTATCTAATCCCAGGTCTTTCCAAGTCACACCCCAAGTTCCCTGTGACTCTTCTACATAAATACTGCTCCTCCCACATAGGTTTGGCTACATCATTGGCTAGCTGAAGACTCCTTGCCCAAGTGTCTAAATCCTAAAACTCATTTAAAAAAAAAATCACCTTAGAGTCTAGGTGGTATGAGACCATCTGAGGTCAAGAAATTTCATGTTCAACAAACTGGTTGACCAGAACTGACTCTGAAGCAACTAATTTTTCACTGAAATTATGTTTTGCTTTTTAAGAAAAGAAAGAAGGAACCCCCACATACACACCATCCCTGGTATCAGACTGTACCTTTCCCGTTCTTTGATAATTTATGGTTTCACAACAAACTTTCTGCCCCGCAGCCCTCTGTGAAAACATCTTTCCCCCTCTAATACAGGCATTACACTGATGAACCGCATTTGCTTTCCTCCTACACTGCACACGGACGAAAAGCCATCCCGTCTTTAAAAGCTCTTCGAGGAAGAGTTCTCGATCCCAACTCTCATCCCTAAAAGAAACGACCCTCCCTTGGGAAGGCGCCTAAGCCCGGAAGGCAGAGCCAGCCGCAGCCGGCCTCCCCTCGCCGGCCCGACCGACCAGCCCCGGGCT